GAAAAATGGATTGAAGACGAGAGATGAATTCACCGTGCGTTGGTAGCGGCGTATGGGAAAATTAGGAATTTCAGATTTTTGAATGGGGAGATATCAGAGTCACTGCCTTATGAGTCATGGTATAATAGTTGAGTTGTGTCAATAAATGAATTATGGATTAATGGGTTGGTGCGGAGCGTAATTGGACTTGGGCTTGTGAGTTGTAGATTGGGCCGCTCTTGGGTAAGTAGTTGGGAAAAATTCATAAGTAAGATATTAAGTATCACATATTTCAAAACTAAGAAGAAATGTTTCAAATTTCAAAAATCAGATTTTTATTAAAATTTATTTATGATTTAATTAATTAATTAATTTATTAAATATAATGATATCACAATTAAACAAGTCACAAATACATAATTAATTGGTCACGAATTATTTCGAGGTCACAAATTAAAAATTTTATACGTCATGGATTATTTTGAGGTCACAATTAAAATTTTTTATAGATCACAATTTGTTTATCGGCCACAGATAAAAAATTTTGCCGGTCACTGATTATTTCGAGATCACAAATTAATAATTTTATAAGTCACAGATTATTTTATTGGTCACGAATCAAATAATTATAGGTCACAGTTATCTATCAATCACATATTTTCAAATTTATTTGTCACATATTAATTTTTATTCATAAATTGTCGAATTTTAAAGTTACAGATAGTCCATTATGCGGTCACAGTTGGTCACGATACATATTCAAACAATTGCCGCCCGTACTGCAACCACCAGACCATCACCTGCACCGCACTGTAACCATTAAAAAAAAAAACACGACCTCAGCCTGCGAGCCGGCACCACCTCACCTTCAAACCGCTGCCGCCACCACCATTTCAAACAAATCAGTCAATCGCAAAAAAAAAATATTATTACATTCACCACCACGACCACAGATCGGGACATCAACATCGCATCCACATCACCACAACCGCACCCATCAACACCGCCACCGTCAGCACCACCACCACCACCACCAACTACCCCAACCCATCACTCCAGATTTTCACCTCATTTTCCACCATCACCACAGCAACGGCACATACGCCCACCACTATCACTGCCCAAAAACCATTGCAAACGACACCACCAACGACCAAAAATTAGATCGCCCAAACCATCGCAGCCATAAATCGACCGATGCTGTAGTGGTGATGACGCGCTGCTGTAGCCACAGCGTTAAAAAGGACCGCGCTCAGATCGCACCGTCGACAATATTCTCTTTGTGGCTGCAGACGACTCTTGCGGTTGCCGGTGGGTAGTGGAGCGCATCGATTGTCGTTGTAGAAATGACATTAGTTCAGATCGCAGCTTCGTGGCTAGCGTGCAGAGAGGCACGCACAGGGCCGTCGCAGCGAACCGCCATCACCGCTTCACATCGCCGCGCATGACCCCATGTGGGGTAATTTGACCCCACATGACCCCATGTGGATCCACCCCTGAAAACACGTGTTTTGTTTATTTTTTGTTTTTAATGTTGTGTTATTATGTGTTTAGAAGATTATTTCTAGACTGAACATTTTATTGTATTACAACATAAAATGACCAGGGCATCATTTTACATAAGATATTGCGAGTTCAATATGTGATCTCGTATTCTATGATAAATACCAACTATGATCTACTTATAACGTATATGATGGATATGATACAAGGTTAATAACGCGATAATTATTTTATTTCCATGTCAATTTTCGTGATTAATAAGGAAATAAATGTTGAATAATCAGAATTTAGCAAGCTTATAAATAGGCATCCATTGGGCCATTAGTTGAGCAATTCTC